TGAAGTAGGGAGTTTGATCAGAATTCAAGTTTTTCTCTGAACTACAATTTCATTTTTGTAGTATTCTCCCCAAGAAGTTACTTCCCCAGTGAGATCAATCGTTTAAACATTGATGATTTCAAATCTCGGTTCCCCATTGAAGTACAGATTGCCTTTTCTCTACAGAAGATCCGATGCGCCAGAACAGTCATTCGGAAGTTCATTATCTTCTCAACAGTCGATTATTGATGTGTTTTCCAGTGCATTACTAAACATGCATCATTATGTTACATCATTACATTGCATCTACTAAAACGCGTAGCATTTCCATTGCATGGAGCATCACGCTATAAAAAAATGTTCAAACATGCATGAGTATAAGCCAATTGTGTCCACTTGTGGCAACCAGATTGTTATGCGCTCAGATTTGATTTACCTCCACAAGAAGTTTAGGGTAATTCTATTATGTTTCCCCAGCAGGGTGTGTTTGGATTCACCACCAGTCGGGTCTTTGGTATTTCTCCATTTCCCCAGTAAGTTTGTGGTTTGCATTTACCTTTGCAAGCCTTTGGTTATTTTACCCGCGTTTGCTTTGTCTTGAGTAAGAGTTGGCTTATAACCTTTCTTGCTTCTCAAGTGTTTGAGTATCCATACTTGGTGTGTGGTAATTCTGATAATTGCCACTCTTGAAGAATTAACACCTCGCCTTTGGCCTGAGGAATTTTTGTAATCCTTCTTATCGAAAGCCCAATGTGTTTTGGCAATCTTTGTTAGAGTCTGCTTTGACCGGTCTCTTTCTCTTGTAGAGTTCACCTTCGATCGGTGCTCTTTGAAGGTCCTGCTTAGTCGGTTCCTTATTTTGGTTTATCTGCGTCAGTCGGGTCCTCCTTTCGTTAGCCTAGATAACTTTTTATGATTAAGAGTCTTTCAATGTCTCTTCAAAGTCCAGTTGTCTGGCGCCCTTGTTTAGGCGAATGCGTCCTTTTTTTATTGGGGCTTTCTTCGGTTAGTCTCGTTCCTGTGTTCGCTAGCAATTCTAAACATTTGTTTCTTGATGATTAATTTCGCTTTTGTGTATCTAACTCTGGCCAGATATGCATACCTTTATCATTTGTTGAGAGTCCCCTTCGGCTGGTCTCTTTGCAGTTGTAAGTTCGCCTTCGATCGACGTTCTCTTTGTAGGAATCTACCTTCGGCATAGTATTCCTGGATGAAGATTCCCCTTCGGGTGATTTCTTTATCCTAAGGTCCACCTTTGGATGGCATCCTTTAAAATCCACCTTCAGCTGGTATCATTTGTTGAGAGTCCCCTCCGGCTGGTCTCTTTGCAGTTGTAAGTTCGCCTTCGACCGGCGTTCTTTTCTTAGGAATCTACCTTCGGCATAGTATTCCTAGATGAAGATTCCCCTTCGGCTGGTTTCTTTATCCTAAAGTCCACCTTCGGCTGGCACCCTTTAAAATCCCGCTTCGGCTGGTATCTTTCTAAAGTCCACCTTCGGCTGGCACCCTTTAAAATCCCGCTTCGGCTGGTATCTTTCTAAAGTCCACCTTCGGCTGGCACCCTTTAAAATCCCGCTCCGGATGGTATCTTTCTAAATCCCTCTTTGGCTGGTATCTTTCAAAATCCCGCTCCGGCAGGTATCTTTCAAAATCCCGCTTCGGCTGGTATCTTTCAAAATCCCGCTTTGGCTGGTATCTTTCAAAATCCCACTCCGGCAGGTATCTTTCAAAATCCCGCTTCGGCTGATATCATTTGTTAAAATCCATCGTCGACTGGTATCATTTGTCAGGAGTCCCATTTGTTTGGTCTCTTCCCTCAGTAAGTTCACATTCGATGGGGTTTATCTTTGTAAGAGCTTTCTTTGATATCTCTTTCGTACGTATCCGATACCGACCACGGATATGTATTTTTGATACTTGCTTTATATGTCTGCTACCAACCCCAGACATATATTCTTGTATCTTCGATGTCTCTTTCTTACATATCTGATACCGACCACGGATATGTATCTTTGATATCTCTTTTGTGTGTATCCGATACCGACCACGGATATGTATCTTTGATATCTCTTTTGTGCGTATCCGATACCGACCACGGATATGTATCTTGATATCTCTTTTGTGCGTATCTGATACCGACCACGGATATGTATCTTTGATATCTCTTTTGTGCATATCTGATACCGACCACGGATATGTATCTTTGATATCTCTTTTGTGCGTATCCGATACCGACCACGGATATGTATCTTTGATGTCTCTTTTGTGCGTATCCGATACCAACCACGGATATGTATCTTTGATGTCTCTGTCATACGTATCCGATACCGACCACGGATATGTATCTTTGATGTCTCTTTTGTGCGTATCTGATACCGACCACGGATATGTACCTTTGACGTCTTTTACGTCCGTATCCGATACCAACCACGGATATGTATCTTTTCTATCTCTTTCTTACGTGTCCGATACCGACCACAGACATGTATTTTTGATGTCTCTTTCTTGTATATCCGCTACCGACCCCGGATATGTGTCTCTGATATTTTTTCGCATGTCTGCTACGGACTTCAGGCGTATACCTTTTGATATCTTTCTTACAGGTGTTTGTTATTAAATCCCAACAGAGTTCCTCGATAACCAAGTTATCCTTCGGTGTGTCAAACTCTGGTTAAACATACATCTAACCCTGATAATCCTTTTTACCAAAAAAAATATATATATATATAGAAGATACAGAAAAACCAAAGATATAATAATACCTGACTGGCTTCGGAGCGCAAATTTTTGGGTTCTTTTAGTATTTAATCTTCTTCCACCCTGAAAGTTCGAAAGGCTGACGCCAATCTCACCTTCAGGTTGAAGGCGATTAAATAGGGGCAGCTGTTGCACCCCAAAATTTGCCCTCCTAATTTCTTTTATTCTTGGCTTATACTTTTGCATTCATCTGCATCTATTTCATTAGGTCACTAACATGGCATACATTTCATTCAATATAGCTCTGAGGTTCAAAGTTCAGTGGTTGTGCGATACTAGGGTTTCACAGTGGTTAAGGCGCTCGTATCCAATAAAGGATGATTTCTTATTCATGCAACAAGCTTTGGAATTAGGTTTTTTTTAGGCTCATTTCTGGACTTCTTCTCCACCAAGTTACTGGGCTAATATCTTTTGATGAACAACTGGTTGTAGGTCATTCTGGTCAAGAACTATGGGACGTGACCTAGCATATGTGGACTTTGAAGCATGGCATCCTTTCCTATAAGTATGCTTGTCATTTGATTAGGATTAATGACTGTGACATGACATTCATCTACTCCTCAGTTAATCAATTTAGGTTTTGTTGAATCATGGTTCAAAGATGTTTTATCCGGATATTTCTCTGTGCATCTAAACGGGGAATCAAGATTGTGAGGTGTGGTTAACATGATTTCTTTCTCTTCAAGATATAATTTCTTTTATCCATTCTTGGCAAGTGCTGGGGTTTTCATTTGTGCAACTAGATTTCACGTCAAGGGAATTCTTCTATGATTCAGACTTTATCATCCCTCTGTAAGATGTTCCTTATGACGCTAATTTCAAGTTGAAATAACCGATCGCTAAGGGCTGGGGATTGAATTGTGAAGCGTGGTTCATGACCTAAGATATGAATTCATAGATTTCTCCTTAACCAAGGCAATCATTGTCCTCATCATTGTCATTTGTTATCTGCGATGCGAGTAGGTTGGGATTGAAGTGGGTTTCTCAGGGAAGAATTCATGCAAGGTAATTGAAGGTTCAAGGCATTCAAGGCAGGGTTTTGTTCAACATGGCATACCTGGTTGATGGGCTTACAAGCTCTTATGAGACCTTGAGATGCATAATCATGGGCCAAATTCAAAGATACGAGGATAAGATCTGTTGACTTCGGTTAAAGTAAGCTTTGAACAATTAACTTTGGGGCCAAGGTCTCCCTTGAATTTTCATCTAATATGTGTTGGGAATTCGAGTTGCATTTGCAGAATAGTATGGTAAAGGAAAAGAAATATTGGTTCAGAAAAGGAAGATTTCATTAAAAATCAGGATTTCTATTCATTGATAAATGTTCAAGTAATCGAAGATCAGGGGAAATAAGGTTTCATGTTAATCTCGATCATGTTCTTTCATTATCATTTGTGTACATCTTTGATGATTAAAGGTCGTCAATTAGAGAAGGATCTCGTCGAGATAAGAGACTTATGGATTGAATCGTAGGATGAGGCATGATGCAAAAGGGCAAGGTTGTGAATTTTTTAGGATCAAGATCTTATTGGCTATTCAAATTATTTGTCATTCAAGATTGAAGTTAGGAGTTCATTGAGAATGCAAGTGTGATTTGGATTTGAAGTTTGATTTGAGTTCAAGATGTTCGAAAGTATTTGGTTGAATTAAAGTCGGCAAAGAGTCTTAAGTATTGGTCATATGGCTTTCTTGGAAGGTAAAATACAGACTGCAAGGTCTTATTTCAAGTCGGAGTTCATCCACATTATAAAGATGTTCATCGTTATTTCAGATTCAAGTTCACAATGCGTTCAAACATTTATTCAAGAAAATACTATCCAATTCCATTCAATTTCATTCAATTGTAACAACACCCCACAAGAAAATTTGATGCTTTCATATCTTCAAGCATTTTTTCAAGACTTTGTCATTTAAACTCCGTCCAAAAAAAAATCCATCACCCGACATTTCAAGCTCAAAGTCATTAATAATTCACACTATAAATTTCAAGTTCATCCAAATCAAACATTCATTATAAAATCATTACAATCCCATTACACCAATATTCTACAAAGAAAAGAAAATGGTTACAAAATACACTTGAACAAAATTCCTTAGTCCTAAAGTTGTTAAAATTCCATGAGTAAACTTCCAATTCCATGCCATGCCAAAGTTCTTCACCTTCAATTCATGACCTGCACATTCATACAAAAAAAAAATCCAAATTCGTTGGAACCTTATTGAATTTGAATCAACATCAGATCTATCGGCAGAAAGAAACAACCATGGTGGAACCCAATACCAAGAAACCTCTGCTTTAATTTGCGCCGATGCAGAGTTCCATCGACGAAGGATTCTGGCATAGATTGTCATCTTTGAAGCTCAACAAACTTGGCATTGATGATTCTCCAATACCCGTTCTTGGTTTCTTTGCACCTTGCTCACACCCTCGAGTATCGAATTATCTAACTCTTTTATCTGAGTCTTTACCTTCTAAATCAAGTGAAGCATCATTAATACCAGAGCCAAGCCACGGAAACAGGAACATGTGTTCTGTTTCGGGGATACTTTACAATACTAATACTGTGGAGAGTTTCCATGCACTTGATAAACAGAATCTCTTAAAGGAAGAGGCCAGAAAGATATGGGATGACATTCAAACTGGAAGAGCTGTGGAGGATTGTTCGGTACTTTCAAGATTTCTCCTTATTTCTTTTGCAGACCTGAAAAAGTGGAGTTTTCATTACTGGTTTGCTATCCCTGCTTTGATGATTGATCCTCCTGCAACCGTGGTTAATTTAAGTCCAGCTTCTAAGTGGTTGAGCAAGGAAGAGGCAGAGTCTCTCTCTGCATCCTGTAACGAGTGGCGTGGTTCGAAATCCACAGCAGATGTCCCATTCTTTTTAGTAGCTATAGATCCAAATTCACATGCTACTGTTAGGCTTCTGAAGGACTGGGAAGCTTGTCAAAGCAATGCTCACAAGATCCTATTTGTGTTTTACGACCCGTGTCATCTCCCAAATAATCCTGGATGGCCTCTCCGCAACTTCTTAGCACTTATTTCTGCAAGGTGGAATCTCAAGTCTGTTCAATTTTTCTGCTACAGAGAGAACCGTGGTTTTGCTGATATGAGCTTGTCTCTTGTTGGTGAAGCATTATTAACAGTTCCACAAGGGTGGAAAGATTCGGTGCCTAATGCAGTAGGATGGGAACTTAATAAGGGAAGAAAAGTACCTAGGTGTATTAGTCTTGCACAATCCATGGATCTAACCAGGTTGGCCGTATCTGCTATAGATTTGAATTTAAAGCTTATGAGGTGGCGTGCTTTGCCATCTATGGACTTGAGTGCTTTGTCTTCCCTCAAGTGTCTTCTCCTTGGAGCAGGCACACTTGGATGCCAGGTTGCGCGCATGCTTATGGCATGGGGTGTCCGAAAAATTACTCTAGTTGACAATGGCAGGGTGGCTATGTCTAATCCATTAAGGAAGTCTCTTTATACTTTGGATAACTGTCTTAATGGCGGAGAGTTTAAAGCTACAGCAGCAGTTGAAAGTCTCAAACGGATATTTCCAGTAGTGGAAGCGGAAGGCATTGTTATGGCTATACCAATGCCTGGACACCCAGTAAATAGCCATGAACAGGAGAGTGTACTTCACGATTGCAGACATTTGTGCGATTTGATTGATGCTCATGATGCAGTTTTTTTATTGACGGATACAAGGGAAAGTCGTTGGCTCCCAACACTTCTCTGTGCCAATGCTAACGAGATTACCATGACTGCAGCACTAGGGTTTGAAAGTTTCTTGGTAATGCGCCACGGAGCGGGTCCTTTCAGTAGCGCCGGTGACTTGAGTGCTGAAACAGCTAGTTCTTCATCTGCCGATTTGCGTTTGAATGATACAAATGTGAAACATAGACTGGGGTGCTATTTCTGAAATGATGTCGTTGCACCAACTGATTCAACGTCCAACCGCACTCTGGACCAACAATGTACCGTGACCCGACCGGGGCTAGCTCCTATCGCTTCTGCCCTTGCTGTTGAACTTTTAGTAGGGATTTTGCATCATCCTCAAGGGATATTTGCAGAAGCCGATATTAACAACAGTGTCTCTGGAGGTACCGAAAACCCTCTTGGCATTTTACCTCATCAGATTCGCGGTTCCCTTTCTCAGTTTTCTCAAATGAGCCTTATAGGTCACTCCTCCTCCAGTTGCACAGCCTGTTGTCAAACAGTTATATCGGAATATCGAAACCGTGGAATGGAGTTCATACTTGAAGCAATTAATTATCCTACCTACTTAGAAGATGTAACTGGACTAACCGAGTTAATGAAATCAGCCACCAAATTCTCATTGGAGACAGATAATGAAGATGAATTTTGCTGGCTCTCTTCATCACATGGAACTGAAGGACCCGTTGGCGATGCCCTAAAATGTGAGTTCAAGTTTTCACCTGCTGATGCAAGTCCACTGAAAAGTATATTAGAATCAGATTATAATATGGATCTGAAGGACAATATTGAAGGTCTGCCAATTCTTGATGGTGACAAAAAAACATCTCCTTTTGATATAAAACTGAGGTGTGAAATGGAGGTTGATCTTGACGCAATTCCTACTTCATTGTCAACATTTGGGGAATCAGATATGACGTCGGGTATTACAGATGACTTGATGCCTGAACAAAAAATACAAGGGCACCAGTTAAAGCAACCAGTTCAGCCCTGCATAGAAAGATTAAAAAGCAAAAATCAATAAACAGTTAACAGTTCAGTTCTAAGAAATTGTAACAAAGCAGAATTCTAACCATTCCAAAACAGATTACTAACAGAATTCCTCTTAACCAAATTCTAACCAACTAACATAATCTCTAACACTGCATAACAGAATAACAAACAGCATAACTAACTTAACTAGTAACAAACTCCTAACTAATTTCTAACATTATCTTAACAGAATTAACTAACCACATAACCAACTCATGGCTTATTTTACAACAAATTTCCAGCATATATACATAATGGGGATGGACAGAATAGAGGAGGTCAACACAGAAAAAAGAGATTTACCTCTCAATCATCTCATTCTGGAACGGGCAGAAGAATCACCACAAAAACCAGGAAAAACTCTCTCTCTCATCTCATCTCATCTTCATCTTCATTCTTCAACTTCCAAAAAGAATCAATAAAAACACCTGAACAAATATCTCTATCTCTCGGCAATCTTCTTGGATCCTTTCTCCATAACTGTTCCTCAATCGCATCTTCATAGTTCTTCATTCATCATCTCACAACTTCAACCTCCACCATCTTCTCCGAACCTTACTCACATCACTCCATCGCCAATACTCCCCATTCTCTTCTTCAACACAAAAAACATTATCATCTTTGTTCTCTACACTACAGCATGCAACAATAATGAACCAAAAAAAAACACAAAAGAGAAGAGTTGAATAGAAGAAGATGATCAACGCCACAACAACGCAGAGCACACAGAGGAACAAAAGAAGAAGAATAGAGTGAAGAATTCACCTCTGGTTTTCTGGGAATACCATCATCGCTGAAGAACCACTGGAGTTCTTTGTTAGGTAATCCTGGGAACTCATTCGATCTTTGATCTCCTCATATCTCTGTATAGCCTAAAGTATGTAGATTCAGAATCACAAGCGAAGAAGGGAGAAGACGAAATACGAAGGGGCGTGCATACCTGAGCTGCAGTTCTCTGAAGCGCCAGATTTCTCTCCGATAGAAGAATCACGCTCCAAATTTCTCTCTTCTGGCACTTCTAGTATTCCTCTTCTTCAAACTCAATCAACGCCAAACGATCTTCAATCTTCACATCTTTTTCATCTGCTTTATATCGCATCATTGCAATCTCACACTTCAACCTTCAACAGAGACTTCATCACCACCATTCTTTCACCAAGCAACCTATTCCATCTACTTCCAACACATTTCAGCGAACTTCATCCTCGATCATCATCGCAACGTTCAATATGCACTACAGTAACAACTACGTAACGGAAACAAATCGCGGACATAAGCGAATATTGAAGAGGAGAAGAAGAAATCATAGAATCAAGAACGCACGAGATTGAGTTTTTATTACATGTAGTTCGCATCAATGTGTCTGGATTTCTTTGTCCCTTTCATCGTAAAACAAGGGCGTCGAACTCGTCTTCGGTAGAGATGACGATCCTCAACTGAGATGAGATGAAACGAGACGGAAGCTGAGGTTGAGAGTTGAGACGGAGATGCGAGGGTTGAGTAACCGCCACGATTTCGAATAAGATGGAGAATAAGAGTTCTGGTGACGGCCGCAGATAGAGAGAAATCAACACTGTTTGTGGAGAACAAGGGAGTTGGCCGCACTTTCCATAGCCGCCGCGAAGAGTGAAAGAGGGAAGGGCGTTGTTCTTTTGAGAGCATTTGCAGAGTCACAAAGGTTTGACCTAAAATATCAAATGCTACGTTTCTTTCCCCTGTATCCACTCATTATTTCCTTGTTTTTAATTAACAATATCAAAAACGATAGAAATGTCATAAATCTTGTGGATAATGTGTTGGATCGGGCCAAAACTGGTCTATTGGGCCAAATTGCACTGTTCTTCAAGCCTGAAGCCTTTTCGACACTAATGCTGCAAACAAAAAATGCTCTTCATGGATCACTTCTGCAGATGGGACTGCGCCTTGATTACTGCACCCCTTATCTTTAGTTTTTACACCCTTAAACTCTTTACATTTTCATTTTATTTTTCTTTACAAATTTTCTTTTATTGGCTTTTGTTAATTTTTTATTGCATGTCAAAATAATCTAAAAATAGTTAGAATATTTTAGGAAATATTTTAGAATTCTTAGGTTTTCTCTTTAGAATTTTATTAGAATTTTCTATTATTGCTTTTATGTTTATTAATCATTTTTATTGCAATTTTCTAGTCAAGACTTTTTGTAGCGTCGACATAATTCTTGCAATGTGGAATGCTCGGGGTGAATTCTTCAATCACTTTCCCAAGGGAACTTTGGTAGAATTTTCTTATCACTTGCGTGGCGTCGAATGGGCAACGGACCTTCTCCGTTCGGTATCGTCACAACTATGTTTTATTCTTACTTTACCGCAATTCATACGCGTGCTAACATTAAGTAGAATTCCCTCAAAATTCTAACTTTAGGTCTAACCACGCATGATAACGTAGGTTTAGAAATAGACTAATCCCCCTTTAACTTTTCTTTCCTTTTCGCATACGCATCTAAAACAAAAACTTCTCCTTTTTTACAAACTTCAAAAGCACATAAAAATTTACTGACGAGAATCATATCTTCGTTAAGTATGTGAGACGATAAGCGAGTCTCTTCTCGACCTTATTGTTCTCTTATTCTAAGTTTTGGTGTGGTTCAAGTCTCAAAGACTCATTTCATGAATAAGTAGCAAAATGGCTAAAATCTCTCCCTTGAGATCAACTAGCTATTACCTACAAACAAAAACACCAACAAATACAAAACTCTTCTTGCCTTCGGGCCTTTCTTTCAAAACATGTTCAAAAGAAGCATATTAATTTACTTCTGTGCTGACGCGTAAGTCTCCAAAGGTCGAGTTGCGGCAGAAGGCGAAATTACTATCATTCATTCAAAAACAAATGAATTCAAAACTTTTTGTGCGTCCAGGCACATTTCTTTCCAAACTTTTCAGAAGAGCATGTTAATTCACTTTTGTGCTGACGCGTAAGTCTCCAACGGTCGAGTTGCGGCAGAAGGCGAAATTAATATTGTTCAGTAAAAAATTCAAACAAACAAAAACATGTAAGTCGAACTACGGTAGCTTTGATTCCTCAAAAAGGATACGTAGGCATTGGGGTAGGGCCCGAACGAGCACAATTTTATTTTCCCTACATTCTTTTCTCCTTTCTTTTGCATGCATTTTTCCCTTAGCAGTAATAAACAGTAAGCATAGATTAAACACACCCATAAGATAGATAACAAGAGTGGATACCGTAGAGTACTACGGGCGTGTGGGGTGCTAATACCTTCCCCTCGCGTAACAGACTCCCTTACCCTCATCTCTTGGTCGTTCGACCTTGATTTCACCCTTCTTAGGTTTTCTCGATGTTTACCTTTCCCTACATGCGGGATAAAAGACGTTCGATGGCGACTTCATTGTTTGATGATTTTCAGCCGGTTGTTTCACACCTCCCAAATCATGGCCCCTCCTGAAGGCATACAAGGCATACCTCTCACTTCTTCTGGGAAAGCAAAGGTCGACTCACCTACTACACCAAAACACTTGGGAGTCAAGCCTTCTACTCTAGAAGCAATTTCTAGGTTGCGTTGCTTCGTGAGTTTTCACACTCTTTCTTCTGACTCTAACCAATCTCAAGCACACATGACAAGATAAGTCCTAAAGCAATCAAAGCCAAAAATCTAATGACTAAAATTCGGACTCATGCTTTGAATCCCGATTTGCCTCATCTACTTCATGCTGATCCAACTCTTGGCCCAGAACTTTCAGATGCTCTCACTCAAATGAAAGAGCTCAACACTTCTGAATCAACCATGTTTATAATAATGGCACTTGAGAAATTCTTTATTCCTCTACTCCAAAATGTCGAAAGTATTAGGGCAAATGAGGAAGCGGTCGAGTCGAAGAAAGCTTTTGTGAAAGTGAATTTGGATATGGTGGTACAAGCCACTGAAGAAATCACTTATTTATTAGCAATGATTGGAAAGAAAAAACAGGAACTGGGTTCCAAATAGAAAATAGCTGCTGAAATACGTGACCAGATTTCTGCTCTCAACAAGGAATTAGAATCGATTGCCAAGCAAGAGGAAGATATTAATAACGTTATTAATCCAGCTCAAGCAAAGGTTGACCAAATAGCCGTGGATGTTGTGGCCGTAAGTGAAGTAATTTCTTCTGTCGAAACGGAGCTTGAAACACTTAGGACTCAAGCAGAAGATTTTGAACATCAGGCCACAAACCTCCATGGTGAAATGCGGTCATTCCAAAACATAATTAACACTTTTAATCATTGTATCAACGATCTTGTGATTTCTTTATGGCTTTAAGACAAATTTTAATGGTACCTTTCTTTATCTGTCTTATATATATCTTCCTCTATTGTACACATTTTTAAGCATGTTTTAAATTTGCTGGTTTCGAACATAATTTTACCAACTTGTTGATTCGACGAATATTAATTCTGTCGAAATTCTAACTTCTTGAAGAATGGGCTTATATTTTTTTAAGTACTTACCATTTACCCTTAAGATGCGTTGATACGGGGTTAACTCCTCAAGTTCATATGAATTATTTGAAAAAACTTGCATCACCTTAAAAGGCCCTTCCCAATTTGGGGACCATTTCCCTAAGACTCTATCATTTTTGTCCATAGGTAATATTACTTTCCATACTAAATCGTCGATAGAAAATACTTTATCTTTTACTTTTTTATTATAAGCTCTGGCAACTCTTTCTTTCTGTCTAATTAACGAATCAAGGGCTAACATCCTTTCTTCATCTAAGTCGACAAGCTCATCCGCCATCATATTCCAGTAATCCTCAGATGGTATTTCATGTTGTTTTTGGATTCTCATTGATTGAACATGTATCTCCACTGGTAACATTGCATCATGCCCAAATGCAAGTCGAAATGGAGTAGTTCATGTTGCTTCCTTAGGGGAAGTTCTACATTCCCATAAGGCTTAATCTAGTGTTTTATGCCAATTCCTTGGCTTGTTTCCTACATGCTTCTTAATTAGGCTAA